GAGTCAGCGCTGTTGGCAGAAACCCTAATTCTCCCGGACCTTGGCCTATTTAAAGGCACTTAAGGTCTCCTATTGCGGCTACCCTTCAGAGGAGAAAATCATAAATGAGTCCTGAGTGCTTTGGGCAAGAAAGAGAGCCATGTTGAGCTTCTTGGTGGGTGTCTTGCAAGGAGGAGGAAGGTTTCAAGCCAAAGGGGTCAGAGGAGGTTGTAGATCCGCGATTTGCAACCAAGGAGCATCAGTGGGAGGTATCAATTCGGACTCCTTTCTTCCATATTTGAGTAGATCTTTCTTTTGTGGATTAGGGCTTGTATTACCTTCTTGGTGGGGTTTTGAATGCATCAAACCCCTCTTATGAGCTGATAGCATAGATATGGACCTTGGAGGGTCCAGAGAGTACGAAAGTGGGAAGCCATGGTGGAGAAACCATTGGGCTTTGAAGCTAGGAACCATTAATGGATTTTTTATGGTTTATAATGCAAAATACACCATGCATGGACATCAAGATCGGACCTTTACGCAACTTTTGGGTAGTAGGAGGTTAGATCTATGAGTTAGAGCTACAGATCTGACCTCAGGGGGCTGAGTGAGTAACCCAATGGAGCCAACTCGCCGAGTCCATGGGATGACTCGACGAGTTGTAGCGGGTGTGACCCAGTAGCCTTGACCCAGTGTTAACTCACCGAGTTGGGAGTCAACTCAGTGAGCTGAGTGAACCCTAGGAAGAACGTGGAGAATACGAGTGGACTCAGCGAGTCACAGGTGTGCACTCGGCGAGTCAGGTCAATCTGGGCTGTTGACTTGGTCTGGTTTTCTGTTAACTTCCTGGGTGAGTCAATAAGGGGTAGGAGGGACCAAGGAGGGATAAAATAGACTTTTACCCATCCCGAGGGTAAAAAGGGGAAAAGAGGACTTAAGGAGTAAATGAGTAATAAGGCGAATAATGATCGAGATGCTTGTCTAATGTGTAGGCGGAGGCTAGTCCAGGATTTTTGAGTGTTGTCTATTACCTACTAGCCATCAGGTGAGTCTTCTCACTATACGTTACCTAGAGTGGTATTTATGTGTGACCGGAAGGTCTTATGTGCTTGCTTGAGTTGTGCATCTTGTCTATGTGATATTATGTTATGAGTTATTTAGACCGGACCGGAAGGTCCAATGATTTGTGAGGTCGGACGACTCAACCAGACCGGACCGGAAGGTCGAACGATTTGTGAGGCCGGAAGGCTCAACCAGACCGGACCGGAAGGTCGAACGATTTGTGAGGCCGGAAGGCTCAACCAGACCGGACCAGAGGGTCCAACGAGCTAGACCGGACCTAAGGGTCTAACGAGCTACATGACTGGAGGGTCCCGCTGAGGCACATGGACCAGAGGGTCCTACAGAGTATAGCCTCGAGTGGCGAATTTGTTGTATGTGGTATTTTGGGGAACTCACTAAGCTTCGTGCTTACCGTGTGATGTGTTATGTGTTTCAGGTTGTTCTCCGGATCGCGGGAAGGCACCGGCTTGATTGTACACACCAGTGAGAGAGTTACGTTTTGAGGATCCTGGATTTTAACCGAGCAATTATGAAGTTTTGAGTTGTAAACTTAATAAAAGAGATTTTTGTGAAATACATTATGAGAATTACATGATTTAAAATGAAAAAATTGTTTTGAAAATTTACGTCGTTACAGATAGGATGTACAAACAAAAACAGAAGGGGCAAAAATGGAACTTGGATATATGTCCTTCCATTAAAAGGAGGATTGAGAAACTTAAAGAACAACAAAGGTATACTACTTACTTGTAATGCAACTTTTTTGTATTGGAAATTACTTACTTTATACCATTTAATCATAGGCATTGGGATGTTACTCCAAATGGTCCACGAGTATATGAAGTGAAACAATTGCATGAGGTTTATGCAGTTGACTTGGACCAAAGAACCTGTGGGTGCAGAGCATGGCAGCTGACTAGTATACCATGTGTACATGACATTGCTGCAATCTTGTTTTTGAATGGGAATGCAGAGGAGTATGTTGCAGTTTGGTTCACAACGAATATGTTTCGAAGTTGCTATAAATATAACGTGAAACCAACTAATGGAGCTGACATGTGGGCGAAAACAGGTCTTGAAAGCATCTTGCCACCAAGGCGTAGGAGAATGTCCGGGAGACCAAAAGTGAAGAGAAAGAAATGCCCTACAGAATAAGAAGGAAAACATATTGTTAGCAAGAAGGGGGCATTCCAAAATGTGGTAATTGTCATCAAGAAGGTCACAACAAGAGACGGTGTCCATTGTTGAAACAAGGTTGGATTCCTAATTACATTATTTCTTTATTAAGATTTTGACACTAATAATTTTTTTGCTTTATAGATGAACAAGTACCTGAGGAACATGTGGCTGCTGAGTAGGTTGGGACTAAAGAACAAGTGGCTGCTGAGGAGTTTGGGGCTGAAGAACAAGTGGCTGATGAGGAGGTTGTTAAAGAAATGGTGGCTGATGAACAAGTAGTTGATGAGGAGGTTAGGGTTGAAGAAATGGTGGCTAATGAACAAGCAACTGAGGAACAAGTAGCCGAACATGTAGCTTCTCAACATGTACGAGTTGTTGCTCAAAAGTGTAATAGGAGAAAGGGTGGTCCTTCGCAGAGGAACACAAAGCTTAAGTTGATGAGAAAGGTGGTGACAAAGGATGGTAGTTAGGCAAGTGTTGAACATCCAGTCACCTTAATCTAGGATATTTGCTTTTGTTTGAATTATGCCAAAAACTATGAAATGGTACATCTTTTGGTGCTTAGTGCACACATAAAACAATTATGTATTGTAAGGGCTCCTCTTTTGGTGCTATGTGCACATTACCAACATTTAGTGCCTTATACACATTTTTGAATGAATATCATTTACTGTTTATGCCCTTTAAATTTTTTGTACATCTAATGTTTTATGGTTTTTTTTTACCAAAATGCCCATATATACTGTTTTGTTGGTTTTAAAAATAGTGATTTTAATAGTTTTTTTACCAATCCCTTGTTTGGACCAAACTGCCACTGTATACAATTGCACATAACTGCCATTGTATACAATTTTTATTTATAAAACCGAATGGAAAAGTACATTGAATAGTTTCTGACCAAATTACCCTGTTTTTATCGAATTTCTTTATGGTTTTTAAGATCTTTTTGATGCATTCTACTAATTTTAAGAATTTCGACCAAACTGCCCCTATTCTACTACTTTTAACAGTTTGTGACCAAAATGCCCTTATATACATTTTTTGGTTAAAATTTAGTTACTTTAACATCATGTGACCAAACTACCCTCGTATACATTTTTTGGGTTAAATTTAAGTGACTTTTAACAGATTGTGATCAAAATGCCCTTATATACATTTTTTTGGTTAAAAATTAGTTACTTTAACATCATGTGACCAAACTACCCCTGTTTCGAAATTAATGACCAAACTACCCCTGTTTCAAAATTAATGACCAAACTTAATAACACATATGCAAAAAAAAGGAGAAGGGAAAATCATGAAAAGAAAAGGCAGAAAATGGTTAAGAAAGTATGTTGAATATACCATTTATACCATTTCTGAAATAGTAACACACTTCCAATTTGTTGATTTTTTGTTGTTTTAAATAAGAAAGTACGTTACTATTTCTTGATAACACAAGTTATAGCAGCCATTTGTGAGGGGCTGCATAGGGTTCTATATCATTGAATAAAAGTACATTGCTATTTCCTTGCATGCTCCTCCATTATAATGGCTTGATGACAGTTATACCCTCTATACAAACAACAAATATATACTAAAGGTACATTGATATTTCTTCTAAACATTGTTAAATCAAAGTCAAACTACAACAAGTACATTAATATTTCTTCTAAACATTGTTAAAATCAAAGTCAAGCTACAACTTACCATACATACTAAAAGAAGTACATTGCAAAGGTTTAAACATATATACTACATCATTAATTTCACTAAAAACACAACAAAAATCATGATTATGAACCACTTCTGAAATCGTAATTTCCTACTATTTGTGCCAATTCCTTACTTAAACTAATATATTCCTTATTTGTCATCCCTTTGTGCTCATTGCAATCTTTTTCCAAAATTGATATCCTTACTTCAATGGAATCTACTTTTATTTCTGTCTCATCTCTCTTATTCGTGTTTCTTAGTCCTTCATCGTCATCAACCTATTTCCAAAGAGAACAATTTGGTGTGTTTGGATCCTTCATATGCAGAAAAAATAAATCAATTAATTAACCAACCAAAGAGGGAAACCGACATTAACTAAGGAAGTATGTAAACAAAAGGTATGATAACTCACAAGTCGGTTGGGACAAACCCTAATTTTTTTTTTCCAGGATTCTTCTTAGTGGTTGAAGTCCAAATTTGCGATAGGAAACCACAACCACAAGGGTATGAATCATCAACCATCTTATTTGTCTTTGAAACGTTAGAGCTTGAGGATGAAATTATGGATTTGACAGAACAAGATGAAGCCATCACAAATGCTGAAGAAGGAAACGATGCAGGAGAAGAAACCCAAGAGTGCTCGTCCCTTATTATGAGCAAACGCCCTAATTCGTTTTAAAGAAATACACATAAATGTCATGTCATTAATTTTAGGCCACCTCACCAATTTTTTAATCCTACTCATCAAGTAACCCACAAGAACCGGTTACCATTAGGTAACATTTGAACAAACAGTATACTTTCTTGGTGTTTTTTATACAACACCCTTACTTGGATGATATTTTTTGAACAACCAAAACTTCGATGGTTTCTTTTGAACATTTATGAAACATTCTTATCCTTATAATTCATTTTTCCGGTTGATATCTATCTCTCCTTCGCTCATTTCAATCTATCCACAATTGTCTGGTTGTTGCTGTTGTATAAAATTAAGATACTATTAAAAAAAAAAAGTGCGAGTAAAAATTTATTTTAATTTGGATATATATTGATCATTTTGATACTTATTAATGACGAATATGATAAAGGAGACGACAATCGCTTTCTTATTTTAGGTAAGGTTACCTCGTCATCCACCAACCCACTCACGAACTCACTATCTTCACCAAGTCCTCCAAAAGAAACCAATTGAGGGTAGATCCAATCCATTTATCCAATACCCATAATCACATCCAAGTGAAAATGGTCATGGCAATCGCACTTCGAAGGCTCTGTTCTTCACACATTAAGCATCACCATCTCCGTCGTCCCTCCAATGGATCTTCCCTCGCTTGCATGGTCTGTTTCTCCACCCATTCTTGTAATTCATGGGGTTTTGGTTCTCTTTTCAATCTAATGTATTGATGTGTTTTGTCCAGTCTTCTTTGCCGAATCAAGCAGCTCATGATATTGAAGTATCACGTGTTAATGTTAGTACTCATCATTTACTCAATTGGATTCATTTTTACGGTGTTACTAGATCTCGATTTTGTCATCTAGGGTTTGATATTCTTTTTGTGATATTGTGAATTTCGATCGACAGTGGACGAAGCAATTGAATGCTCCACTTGAAGAAATTGATCCTGAAATTGCCGACATTATTGAGCTCGAAAAAGCTAGGCAATGGAAGGTAACTTTAAACTTCCATTCCCCAATCTTTTCTGTTTATTTGAGTTACAGTTGAAACGATTTCTTATTAATTCGCCTCCTTTTGACTTTGAGCGTCAAACTTTATATTTAAGAAAGAAAGCTTACCTTTTGTTTTTCAGTAATTCATCACCGATCTCTTATTGGATCTTCTGCTCAATCGATTGACAGTTAGTAATCATAAATCAAGTTGAATGTTAAGATCGAAAGTAATCTGTTTCACATCCAAAAGGACATAAATTATATAAGCTATTATGAGCAATAGTTTGATATGAAAACCACAATAAGCAGCATGGATAGCATAAAATCCGTGTTAAACTTCTTATATGCTTGAAATTGATTATTCTGTGTCTATATAGGGATTCGAACTCATACCTTCAGAGAATTTCACCTCATTGTCAGTAATGCAAGCTGTTGGATCAGTGATGACCAACAAATACAGTGAAGGTTATCCCGGTGCTAGATACTATGGAGGAAATGAGTATGAAAAGTCCACTTAAAGTTCTTGATTTTTCCCTATAATTAAGTGGCATTTATATTCATTCTTGTGTTACACTTTATTTTTTAAAGGTACATTGATATGGCTGAAAGATTGTGTCAGAAGCGTGCATTAGAAGCTTTCAATTTGGATCCTTCAAAATGGGGAGGTAATACATTGAATCCCAAGTGATTGACTTTTTTTGACCATTAGATAATTTTACATTTTGTGCTTAAAATGCTTCCATCTTTGTTGCAGTTAATGTGCAATCATTATCTGGATCACCTGCTAACTTTCAAGTTTATACTGCACTTTTGAAACCTCATGAGAGAATCATGGCACTAGATCTCCCTCATGGTGGACATCTTTCACATGGTTATCAGGTGAAATGAAATGAGCTAAATTTGGTCACATATTGTATGAGATATATTTAAAAAGCATCTCATTTTGATTTTTTTTATGTAGACCGATACAAAGAAGATTTCAGCTGTCTCAATATTTTTTGAGACAATGCCATACAGATTGGATGAAAGCACAGGTTATATTGATTATGATCAAGTAAGTTAATAAGAGTTAGTATGATATTTTGTATTCCTGTGAAGATTATTTTTTTTTCCTTATGAAAAAAGTTTATTGTATGTTGTAGATGGAGAAAAGTGCTGTGCTTTTTAGGCCAAAATTAATCGTAGCTGGTGCAAGTGCCTATGCTCGAGTTTATGACTATGCCCGTATGCGAAAGGTAAATCTTTTCATGTAAAATGACTAATCTACCCTTAAAGATATCATATTTCCGTTTAGGCCCTCACAAGACAAAAACATAACATAACAAAATAAAATAATATTTCAAATCTCTCTTTTTTATTTTGACAGGTTTGTGACAAACAAAAAGCTATTTTATTAGCTGACATGGCACATATCAGTGGATTGGTTGCTGCTGGTGTCTTGCCATCACCTTTTGAATATGCAGATATTTGTGACAACCACAACACACAAGTCACTACGTGGGCCCCGTGGAGCAATGATCTTTTTCAGGAAGGGACTAAAAGAGATAAATAAAAAAGGCCAAGAAGTAAGTTTTGGTTGATGGCAATAAATTAAATATCTTTACTATTATGGCAATGTTAATCCAATTACTAAACAATTTTCATTCCTATAATTGGATAGATTTTTCAGAGTATAATGTTTTATAAGAAACAAATTAAAAATACAATGCCTTAATAAGAAAAGTAATGAAAGTAGGTTGTTATTTAGCTTTTTACATATGTGTCGATGTGTAGGTGATGTATGACTTTGAAGATAAAATCAATCAAGCAGTGTTTCCAGGACTTCAAGGGGGTCCACACAATCATACAATTACTGGTTTAGCTGTTGCATTAAAACAGGTTTATTTTTATTCATTAATAATTAAACATTACTTGTCTCTTCTATTAACCCAATTGAATTTACTCATGTACTATATTTGTTGTTTAATTTATAGGCTACAACTCCAGAGTACAAAGCATATCAAGAACAAGTTCTTGCCAATTGCAAGAAATTTTCACAGGTTTTACTACATACATTAATTAAATTTTATTTCATTCACCAACTTGCATCTAATTTATATTTTATAATAAGAAATTAAAATGTAATTGCAGAGTTTGATAGAGAAGGGATATGATCTTGTATCCGGTGGAACCGATAATCATTTGGTCTTGGTAAATTTAAGAAACAAGGTAATTTCACGTTAAAATTAAATTAAAAATTGCATAATTATAGAATGTACATTATTTCTACAAAAAAAGCTTATCATTCCAACAATACCTGACCTGGCCCACACTGTCCTTGTCCCATAAAAGCATCATGTGAGATGTAAATTAGATACACAGTGTGGCCCACTACCCAATCCACATAGCAACTGAAACTCCTACACCACAGATGCTTAGTGTGATATTTACCTATTTGCCCATATTTGTCATTCTTCATGGGCAATTTAGTAATTTCTTTGTGGATACAGGGTATTGACGGGTCGAGAGTGGAAAAGGTTATGGAGTTGGTGCATATTGCCGCCAACAAAAACACTGTTCCCGGTGACGTGTCAGCCATGGTACCTGGCGGCATTCGTATGGGTAAATTTCACCATCTTCAAATCTTGCTTTTATAAACTCCAATCAAAAGTGGGCCCAAAGAAAAAAAAAATATCGTTACATATTTATAAATTTTGAATCTTTTATTGAATTAGAAGAAATATTTTTGTTCAGGAACTCCTGCGCTAACGTCTAGAGGATTTCTTGAGGATGATTTTGTTAAAGTTGCCGAGTTATTTGATGCTTCTGTCAAATTAGCCTTGAAAATTAAGGCTGCTTCCACAGGTTTGACTTTTAGCCTAGGCCCCATTTGTTACAGAAGAAATATATATATATATTTTTTTACTTTATATTAAGTGAACAATTTAATTAATACCAGGAACAAAGTTGAAGGACTTTGTTGCAACTATGAACGGGGATGAGAAATTTCAATCAGAAATTGTAAAGATTCGAGGGGAGGTCGAGGAGTATGCTAAACAATTCCCAACAATTGGTTTTGAGAAGGAAACAATGAAGTACAAAAATTAACAAATCCAAACATAGTAAAAACCATCGGTTGGATTCTGGTTTTGGAGTATTTAAGGTTGTTTGTCAAACCTGTTTGTGGTTTAAAGTTGTGCACATGGAAAACCTCGGGAGATGCTAAGATTCGTTTTGGAGGTTTGGCCGTCATCGAGAGTTCACGTTTTTCTTGTTCGTCAGTTTGTGTAAAATGGATGATGGTTCTGTTTATTTTTATAAGAAATAGATTTTGTTTGTTATGAGTTTACTACAAGTTGTTATTGTTATTATCGATAATCACACGTATAGTAATAAATGCACACTATAGAAAAGTTGAAATTTATTAAACTGTTGTAGTTCTTGCTAGGATTATTATTATATTTTGTTATTTGTTAACTTTGTGTTGTTTATAATCTAGCAAATGTACAAGGTTTTTTTGGTGACATACATTTTTATAGGAAAAATACATGGTTTTTGAATATACATTTTTATCCGATTCAAATATTGTTGAGGGGAATTCTGAATTCACCTACGTATAGTGATAATGAAACTTGGATTTAGGGCGTTATCTTTCACCCTGTATGTCATGATCAAACTAAGCTTAGACAAGTATACAATTTGCACCTTGTTATTTGTATTTTAAGCATAGGTGCCTAGGTGGTATCATTTTCGTAAATATTTCCATTTTTGTGAACATCTGTGTATTTTGACCAAATGTTTTTTATATAAAAATATTGAGTTTAAGGATATGGTAATATATATTTTTTTGTGTAAATTGTACTTATATGTATATTATATTAAATATATATATATATATATATATATATATATATATATATATATATATATATATTTTATCATTTATAACATTTTTATTGTCCATTTTTATCTCTTATAGAGCTTTATTTCCTAAAACCAAAATTGGTTTTCATGAAATTAAGCAAGAACATTGGTTCACATTTACTCAATTTGTTTCTTGTTTGTTGAGCATTTTCTTGTGTACCTTTTTGTGTATTACCATTTTCACGAATATCAATATCATCATGGAACAATTTCTTGTTGCATGATGACGCTCCTCCCCTAGACATTGCCCATCAACACCACCTTAATTCATGGCTGGCAATTGGCCGTATATCATCCCTCAACACTATGGTATATTGTCCTACTTGGTCCCTCTCCTCAACCATCATCTCATTGTCATCCTCTACTTCATGTGTCCCTTGAAAAGGCCCTAATTCTCATCTAATTCTCTAATGATCACACGGTGAGAGTTATTAGGAGACATGAAATAGGTTAGTACGAAGATCGTCTGATACTCTGTATACACTTTTATAATACTATGTATACACTTTTATAAGCTTATTTGCAGCAACATAATTAGGTAGGATACACACATCATCATCACTACCTAGTTCTCTCAAGTGGGGTACTTGATAACCTAGTTCTTCCATTATATTGTCCATTTCATGGACAAAAAATTCATCGATGTCCAATATGTCAATGATACGAACTCATCCTTCTTGTACCCCTTTAAGGGAATCTAGTGAACTTACCTTTGTGATGATGTTCCATGGAGAACATTGTGGATGACCCTCTATAAAAAATAAGAAGAAAATGGTTTCAAAAGCTTGTCATATATGTTACTTTCTAACCCTAGAAATCATGAATAAAAAAAACAACAATAGAGGCATTACCATATATGTTTTCAGCCTCGATGTATTGATTTAGAGGTCTTAAGCTCCACACTGTCACCACCATTATCCTTCCAAAAAGTTTGTAGGAAAGCTTTAATTCAAACTTGTTCGAAAAGTAGAAAATGGAAACTAGGGATAAAAAATGAAAAAGATGAAAAGAATGAGGATGAAATTTTGAGTCCCAACTTCGGTGATCAATTCTAAGAAGTATGAGAGTGATGGTTTCGTAATAATGCTAATAGAGTAGAAGAGATATAAGATGTCATAAATATCCTCACATAAGTGACACATGTTTTAACTAACAACTCATATGTTTTAACTAACAACTGAAATTAAAAAGAAATTAATACAAAGACTCATACAAATATTATATACTTCCTCGGTCCCAAAATTATTGTCCACAGACAAAAAACACACAAATTAAGAAAAGTTAATTAACATTAACTTTATTAAATGAAATGACCATTATACTCTTTTTTGCATGTAATTCTATGGTAGTTGCATTTAATTCCATTGTAATTTTACTAATAATGAATGAATATTTTGGTAAAAATAATATTTATTTTTAGAAGTGGACAATTATTTTGAGACAAACCAAAAAGGAAACATGGACTATTAATTTGGGACGAATGAAAATAAATTTTAGATGGGAGACCCTAATTTTTGACAAACAAATGGAACAAATTTAAAGTTTTCTCTGACTTTTTTAATTATCTAGTTGGTCGGTGGACCCCATGCAAAATAATGAGGATTGGGCATTTGGACTCGCTCATTCCCCTCTCCTTCTATCCCTCCCCTGTTTCCCGAAATCCATTTTCATCCAAACACACATAGATGAAGATAACGTGAAATTCGCACACCCAATTCAACATAACTCTGAATGTAAAAAAGATCGCACAAATAAAACCATAAGAATTCCTTCATCGATAAGTAGAATCTTTAGCTTTCATGGCATCTCTACCTTCAGTAGTAATCGGCAACACGATCAAACTCGAATCAGAGTTCAAGAGACGCACCGCCAATTTCCCTTCGATTGAAAAGGTAAAGCTTTCTTATAATTCATTTATCACAACTGTGGTTAATTTACATTTATAACAGTAGGTTAGTTCGTTTACAGGACGATGAAAGTACAGTAGTTTGATATTCGAATTGCATCAAACCATGTTTGCTAAGTTCATTATCTTTCTTGTTAGCAGAGGAATTTTAGCTCAAGCTATCCGGATAAAGCTTTTGACGCATTAACTTTGGACTTCAGAGAAGTCGAATCTTCAACTTACGTTCCACTTCTACAACAATGCGTCGAAAAGAACTCACTTCAAGAAACCCAGATGATTCATGCTCACATTATCAAATCCGGCACACAAGAAGATTTATTCGTTATGACATCGCTAGTGAACGTTTATGGAAAATGCGGTGCCATGGAAGCCGCGCACAAGGTGTTCGCTAAATTGTCTAAAAGAAACGTCGTAACTTGGACTTCTTTAATGTCAGGCTACGTTCACAACTCCCAACCCGAAACAGCAATCCGTGTGTTTTCACAGATGTTGGAAACCGGATCTTATCCCACAAATTATACACTCGGAGTTATCTTAAACGCTTGTTCTGCATTATTAGATCTTAAATTGGGAAAACAAGTTCATGGGTATGTCATTAAATACGGCCTGGAAGATGAAACAAGCATCGGGAATACACTCTGTAACTTTTACTCTAAATGCATCGAAAACCTGGATTCCGCCATGACAGCATTTTGGAGGATCCGGGAACGGAATGTGATCTCATGGACAACAATCGTTTCCGCTTGTGGCGACAATCGGAATCCTGATTCCGGTTTGTATCTATTCACTCGAATGCTTGAAGATGGAATTGAACCAAATGAGTTCATTTTAACAAGCGTCTTAAGCTTGTGTTCTACAATCCAAGCTAAAGATTTCGGTTTGCAAATCCATTCACTATCCATCAAGATCGGATATGAATCCAACATTCCTGTTACTAATTCCATCATGTATTTATACTTAAAAGCCGGATCATTTACCGAAGCCAAGAAGCTATTTGAAGGATTGGAAACCGTAAGCTTAGTAACATGGAACGCGATGATTGCGGGCCACGCCCAGATGATGGAAGTTTCCGAAAATACCCTTCTGGCAACCCGAAACGGGTTTGAAGCTCTTGACACGTTCTTGAAACTACAAAAATCCGGATTAAAACCCGATCTTTTCACCTTTTCTAGCATCTTAACAGTTTGCAGCAATCTTTTAGCTTTAGAACAAGGTCAACAAGTCCATTGTCAAGCTATAAAAACAGGGTTTTTATCCGATGTGGTTGTGGGGACAGCTTTAGTCAACATGTATAACAAATGTGGGACAATTGAAGGTGCATGTAAAGCGTTTGTTGAAATGCCTACAAGAACTTTGATTTCATGGACTTCAATGATCACTGCATTTGCTCAACATGGTCTTTCCCGACACGCGTTGGATCTTTTTAACGACATGAGACTCGCAGGCGACAAACCGAATAAAGTTACATTTGTTGGTGTTCTTGCAGCGTGTAGTCATGCGGGAATGGTTGACCAGGGTTTGACTTTTTTTGAAATGATGAAACAGGAATACAAAATCGACCCGATTATGGATCATTACGGGTGCATAATTGATATGTATGTGAGATTAGGGAAGCTAGATGAAGCTTTTGAGTTTGTTAACAAGATGGAATTTGAACCAAATGAGTTCATTTGGTCATTACTTGTTGCAGGTTGTAGAAGTCATGGGAATCTTGAAATGGGTTTTTATGCTGCTGAAAAGTTGCTTGATTTAAACCCTAAAGATCCTGAGTTGTATGTTATGCTTTTGAACATGTACGTTTCAGCGGGAAGATGGAAAGACGTGTCGAGGTTAAGGAAGTTGATGAAAGATGAAAAAGTTATGAAATTGAAAGATTGGAGTTGGGTTAGTATTAAAGATAAGGTTTTTTCGTTTAGATGTGACGATAAATGTGAAGAGATTCAAGATTTGTTGAAGGATTTGATTGAGAAATCAAGAAATCTTGGATATGAGTGGAAGGAAAATGAAGAGCATCATAGTGAAAAGTTTGCTGTGGTGTTTGGTTTGTTAAAGATGGAAAAAAGAGCAGCGATACGTGTGGTTAAGAGTACGAGTATGTGTAGAGAGTGTCATAATTTTGTTAAGATTGTTTCGGTGTTGACTGAGAGGGAAATTGTAGTGAGAGATAGTAAAAGACTTCATAGATTTGTTAAGGGGAAGTGTTCATGCGGGGATTTTGGTAGTCTTTTGTGATGTGGGATTGTGGTGTATGGAATATAGAATGTTTAGGATTTGTATGTTTGTTTAGTTCAATTTTAAGACACAACATTAAGACATATCCACTAAAATCACCATATTTGTATGGCCATTGTTTCATCTGGCTATCATACAACAACCAAAAACTTCGCTTTACCAATCCAATCAAGTGACTTCACTAAAATTTGTGATATTTTGTGATGAAGTTACTTTATGTCTAATATGCTGATAAACTATCTATAAAACTGTATAAATTAGCTAAATTACATCATTAATGAATTTTTTGTAACAGTTCGTTCTTTACTAGGTGGTAGATAAGTCTGTGTTTTCATTGTCTACTACGTGTTTCCACTACATGTTTGTGTTTCAGACGCTTGTTTAGTTGGTTAATGCTTGTTTAGTTAGTTAATGCAACAATTTATTTTCTAGTATATATTTATATGATATAATTTTAACAAAGGTACAAACTATCATAATAAAGAAATTTCAAAGTAATCATAATAATAACAATTTTCTATATTTATTTATACAACAAATGAACAAAACACTATAAAATTTAATGTTGAAATGATATGATAGGTACGAGATCAATCTTGTAGAAAAAGATGAAATAACGTTGGAAATACTCACACTCATGTCTGTAAATTTCGTACGCTAACAAAGACAGCCTTAAAGCTCAAAAAAAGGGGTCCAGGAAAAACTAGAAAAGCTCAAAAGGGAAATTACTACTGGCCATGTCTTGCTTCTAAAAAGAACCATCAATTTTCATATTAGAGTTTAGACTACAAACAAAGGACAACATTTATATTTTATACACTGGTTGTGCCTTGTGCCTTTCTAAAAAGATGCATGCAATTAATTCATCGGGCAAAGAGTAAACTCTCAAAGTTAAATATATAAAAAAGTATATACAACAAAGAAAGTGCAAAACAAAGAACATATAGGCACACCCAACAGGCACATACACCTATTATATATATATATATATATATATATATATATATATATATATATATATATATATATATATATATATATATATATATATAGTTATTAACCGTGAATCCATGATCATGATAAGATCAAGTAAATTAAAAAGAAGGAAGGAATCAGGGACTTCGGGTTCTAGGGAGCCTTATTAGGGTTCACAACCATCTTACCCTCTTGATTAACGGCCAAACCAGGGCCGGCAACCACCGGTTGGTAGGAGGTGGGCATTCCTCCCTGCGATGTTGTATAATAAACCTGCCGGCCGGTGGCGTCAATACCAACCTGACCATACCCCATCTCAGCCTGTGGTCTCACCATTCCGATTGCTTCTTGATATGTTCCGATCTTTTGTTGTTGAACTGGAGTCTGTGTCATTGTGCTGTACATCGGCTGTTCCCGGTAGAATTCAGGTTGATTAACCATCCTCTGCATCCCATAGTACGCCTGACCTTGATTCACCTGAACTGTTGCCGGTCGGAGTGTCTGACTCGCAGGCGCCGCCGGTGCCGGAGATGGAGCTTGAGACGAATAAACACCATTCGACGATGGAATTAGGTAAACTGGAGAGTCGGTTCCCGCCACCGACATAGTGTAACCACCTGTTGTCATATGTCGTTGTTCTTGCCAGTACCGCGGTTGACCTGTCGCCGGCGCCGGTTGAATTTTCTGAGTGTAATAGTCTCCGTAATAAGCCCTGGGGTCGATATTCATAGCTTGTTCGTGACTAGCTGCAATCTGCATCCTTTGAGATTCCTGAATCTGTCTCTGGATTTCTACCGTCGGTGACACAACCGGATCGGAGATCACGAGACGGTTGCTATTACTATCCTCGGAACCGCACTCCGATTCCGGACGAGCGCCTTCTGAAACGTTCGCCTGTGGCACGACAACGGCCGCGACATCCTGCACCTTTGACGGAGCCTGTACCGGCGCATTCCCTTTATCGAATCCAAACAGAAAATCAGGATTTTCCGATGCCGGCGATGAAGCCTGCGCAGACGAGATCTGCACGGCGTTCAACGCATCGACAAACCACTGCTGCTCCGTCTTACTTTCGCCACCGCTACCGTAACTCGACGGAGATAAAGGAAATAAAAACAACCGAAGCCTCACCGGCTTAACAGAAGATCGGAATATCCTATCGTATTCGGTCATCATATGTTCCAAATCCTCATCGTTCGTAACCGAGATCAACGCATCAAGATCTTCCCCAGGCAATTGGTACTTAAAACAGATATCGGTCGAATCGGAAAGCGAACCAAGTTTTTGTAAAATCAAAGCGTACCTAATGTTACGATCCACGGTGAGGATTTTGGTATCTCCGCCGATATAAGTGAGTTGATTATCATGTGGCCGTGGCAGTATCTTACCTCCATAACTGCACATAAGCTTGACCTTGTAATTGGAAGCATTATTGTTAGGGTTAGGGTTAGGGTTGTTGTTGTTGGCGAGCTGTTCGTCGTATGAGGCCGTTTCGCAATCGACTTCCCGGGAGCGAGGAGTGGAGGTGTTGGAGTCTGGATATGAAGAATATGAGTAATTATTCTCCATTTTTTGTATGATCTTAACGGAATCTTAATGGCGGAGGGTGATGGTGGTGGCCTCCTAACGGTTATACGGAGAGAAATTAACGTAATTGGCTGCCATTGGAGGTGGAGGTGGTGGAGATCAGGAGGAGGATAGGATCAAGCCAAGGCGATAGGTGTATCTTTTTTCATAGTGCATAATTATAATTTATAATTATAGCTTTTATTGTGGAACCCACCTGCGGAAGTTCAGGGACTGGAAGTGTAACTTTTTCAATCTGTGTGCTTTTGCTATTTGATTACTTTAGCTGTTTAGGATAGGGATCTTTAAGGATCGGCGTGTTGCATGTTCGGTGAGTAGCTTTTGAAGAGATTTTGTTGGCTCTTAGTTTTTAGTTTTTAAAATTAGTTCCAAAATATATAAAAGTTTGGTTCCAAAAAATAAATTACTTTAGTTTATTTTAGATTTTAACTTTTTTGATTTTTATTTAAATTTATATATTTAATAACAAACAATTATTTCTATCAAATGTTTTCTTACAAATAAAAATAAAAAGTTATAAAATTAAAAGTTATAGCTTCTAACTACTAACTAATTTTACAAAACATATTCAAAAGAGAAGTCTACATAATAATCCTTATATTTTAGCTCTATTGACAAAAAAATCACTTTTGTTTATTTATTTATTATTACAATTAATCATTGAAACCGATAAACATTTGCAAAAAGAACCCTTATACATGGTTAGTGCTGATTTTAAGGGTTAAACTGCAAAAGAAAAAAAATTCGTTAGATGATTTTTTTTCATTAATAAGGTTAAAGTTTAAGGATTTTTCTGGAGATTTTCTTTTCTATATACGTATTAAAGTTATTTGAAGAAAACTTATATTTATTTATTAAAAAACATAAAATAAAGATATCATCTACATCCATTTTACTAAAAAACTCATATGTTTTTTTATTAAAAAACAGAATAATAATTATTTATATATCATTTCTACAATCATAAATATACCATCTATATACAATTTCTAAATAGAATTCCATGATATATGTGGCCTAGAAACACACTCTTTACGAAAAATCAACAAATGTCTTATTAATTGTATTTAGCATATGTTTTTATAACTATTGTAGCTCTTATATTAGGTTTATTGCCATAAAAACCCTTATACTTACATGAAGTGTGCGGTTATGTCCTAAGTCCAACTTTGTGTTCATTAATGTCTCACATTTAGGTAACTTTTGTCATTTTGGGCTTTTTATCTGGTTGTGAACAAGTAGTCGGTCACTTAAGGGCTTTTATGTAAATATAAGGGCAACCTTTGTGACTAAAATGCTACACTTATACGTTTTCACTGGAAGAAGAACTCCGACGTTTTGGGGCTTAGATATCTGTGCGAAGATGATCTTCTGAATAACGCTGGTGTTGAGATGGTGAAGATGATGGTTTCTTTATTGACGGTAATGGTGGTTGTAGTGACGAATGGGGGGGGGGGGGGTAGAGTGTTGTAACATTCCGTTTAAAAATAAAATAAATAAAATAAAATAAGTAAATAAATAAGATTAATTAATAAATAAATAATAAACCCCGAGATGTAATTTATATTTTTATTTTAGCCTTAATTCGTAATAATTTATTTCTGTTAGCCATAAGGAGTTAAGTGTCATAATTTCTGGAAATTGGGATCTATATTGTAACATATGGACTTGTATTGAAAGATTTTTGGTAGCAGGGGCTAAAGAGTAAATACTGGATCTGAATTGAGAAAGAATAGAGAGGGAGGGGCCGGAAGTGTCAAAATTAGTATGAAGTTTGGTGTTGGAGACGTGAAATAAACTCGTTCCCTCCACCCTCTTGTTAACGGAAACACCAAACCCAAAACCTAGTTTTTCATAAGATCAACCGCCACTTGGTATCCAGCCACCGCCACCCCATTCTCTGTCGTTCCGATCAACCAAGACACCGGTGGACCCTTGTTGCCGGCAAAATCGTGAGACATCGAACACCACCATCACTGCTATTTCCGCTATCGATGAAGGCCAGATCTGCTAGCCGACATCGTGCTAGTCAGGGAGATCAGAGGACAAAGACCGGAGCCATTGCCGTCGCTGCACCGCTTCCATTGCAGAAGAAGCCATCGCCGAACGTCGTGACTGTCATTGTTGCTGTTCCGGTTCACTTCTTCTTCTCCATTTCTCTTCCACCGTTGCTTCTACCGCCGGTGACGACGAGGGCTGTCGGGAGGATCCGTCGAGACCGTAGAGGGGGAAGCTGCCATCGAGCGAAAGTGGCAGATTGTTGCATCGTTCTCGCTAAGCTAAACCTCAACCCTTTTGCCCCGTGTTCCTTCTATGGTAACGAACCTCTCCCACTGACTGCTACGCCGCCGCCACCCCGACGACCACCCTCTGATTCTCGTTGACGTCGCTGCCACCGTCGGCAGTGGCTGTGTTTATGTGTGTGTGTTTTACGTAAGTATTCCACTGTGTTGAATGTAATTTCGCATGTGTGTGTGTATGGGTGTTGTTTTCTGTTTGCATAATGGTGAGGTATTGCCGGAAAACGAAGAAGAAAACCTACCACCACCATAAGGTGGTGGCTGTCGCTTCCTGCCGCCGCCGACCACTATTTTTGGTGGCTGTATTGGGCTTAGCCTTGCTATTTTGGTGCTAGTGTGTGTGTGTGTGTGTGTTGTAAGAAATTGTATGTGTATTGGATTGTTGGGATTATTACTCAAACCGCCGCCGTGTGCGGGTGGCTGCCGCCTCCTGCCGCCATGGACCGCCACCGACCACCACTGCCCGAGGTGGCAGTGGGTGGTGCCCAATTTATAATTAAATATTTATTTAATTAGATAATCATTTAACTTTAGGGGCTGGAAACCCTAATATCAAGAAAACCCTAATTTTGGAGTTGGTCGGGACCCGCGTTAAAACTATTAATTAAACCTAAAACAATATTTAATAATTCTCCACAATTAACTTGATGTGATAATGGACTTAATGGATTAAGTCCTTAACAGGTTAAGTGAGGAACACTAACCCTAGTTATCATTTTATGTAAAAAACCCTAGAATCGAGGCGCTCTATTTTGGGCAATAATCGGGCGCGTATTTGGGCTGTTGACTGGACTATTATTTCACTCGAAAACAACTAAGTCAAACCTTAATCAATCATACCCTTAAGTCATTAAGTCCTTAATGGGTTAAGTGTTCTCACTTAACCCTAATCGCCATTTCATGTGAAACCCTAATCGTCATTTCATGTGAAACCCTAATCATCATTTCATGTGAGGTGGTCACTGTTGCAAGTGACTATGACCTGTGATTGGGTATTGACTCAAGTATCTTCCTGTAGGTGATTGGAAGTGAGTTGAAGCTGGAAGAGTCCTTCATTGCTACAGTGGTTTCTGCACGCACATCGAGGTGAGTTTCGCCTCACTGTACCCGTGGGTTGAAGGCACCAATGTCGGCCCACTAGTATTGATTATCTACTAGTAAAGGGATGCTCTAGGGACTATATATAGTCATGTAGGATAGAATGAGGACTCTTGATCTAAGCTCTCTTACATGTTCCTTGTTTGGTTGTGGTTTTAGAGTAGGATCACTTGTCCGGGTGACTATCTCACCTCTGAGTATATACGGTTATGCATTCTTTGGATTGTTGATATTTAGTATGCTATTATCCTGTAGTGATCTATTAGATCTGTGTTATGGTATTGAGTATGTTGTTATGCTGTAGTGATTTGCTAGATCTGTGTTCTGGTATTGAGTATGATGATATACTATAGTGACCAGTTAGATCTGTCTCCTGGTATGGAGTCTGTTGCTTTGTGGTAATAACCTGTAGAACTGTATGTTATCTGTGCTTGCTGGTTATCAACTATGGAGTGCCCTTAGGGACTGTCGGTGGTTATGTAGGATAACCTGAGAACTCTTGGTCTAGGCTCTCTTGCATGTTCCTTGTTTGGTTGTGGCTCTAGAGTAGGACTATCTGTTCGGGTGGCTATCTCACATCTGGTTACTTATGGTTACACATTCTATGGGGGTAGCTGGTGGCAGGACTATATGTGGTGAGAGGATTAGTAGGCAGTAGTGAGCTATATGATTGTTGTTGCATGTATTATGTGCCTACTTGATCATGATCGTTTATATGTCGACATATCGTGTTTGGTTGGGTTGAGTCGGTCCTGCTTCGTGTGGTAGGCCAAGATACCCGGTGTGGGCCAATTGTAAGCTGTAGGCACGGAGGCTCGGGAGGAGCGGTAGGGTTGAGGCGGTATGCCAACAAACCCTGGGTATTCCAACCCGATGGTTGATTGGACCCGACATACTGGTATTCCAGCCAGAGGCTGATTGGGCAATATGCTTATGATACGAGGGTATTCCATCCCGATGATGTCTGGACCCATCGTGGACATGCCTGGTATTCCAGCCCGAGGCTGATTGGTCCAGGCATGAGTATTTGTGTTTATGCTTGTTTTGCGTGGGGGTATTTTGGGGGAAACTCACTAAGTTTTGTGCTTACAGTTTTGTTTATGGTTTTAGGTTCCTCAGATGATCAGAGGGGTAAGGCGAAGGCGTAACCGTACACATCCTTGGTTTTACAACAGATTGAATCTTGTAACACCTATTCCAGGTATTGATTGCTTATATCATTTTTATGGTTTTTGTGCATGGACTCGGCGAGTTGGGTGCTCCAACTCGTCGAGTAGAGACTATATGGGGACGCGGGGTTTGGGTCCTACTCGACGAGTCGGAAGGCCCTGACTCGACGAGTAGGAGTTGTAGAGAGAAACCCTAAATTTTAGGGTTTGCACCCTATTTAAGGAACATAACCCGCCTCTTGTGGCCTCCCTTATCACCGTACTAGCCAGAGAAAACCCTAATTCGACCTTGCACCTTCTTGAGAGAGAGTAAGAGCTTTGTGAGTGATTTTTGGGGCATTTGTGAAGGATTCTAGAGTTTGAAGAGGAAGGAGCAAGGGGAGGAGCAGTAGATCCGACATCTACTTTGTCTTGG